CTGGCAGGCCGCGGAGCCCGCCTGGGCACCCTCTGCCACTGCCAGGGTCGCGTTATTCCTAGTGTGACGTTGTGGGCGTTGGAACAAAACATCGTGATTTTGTACAACTAAATCCCATTGATCTGGCAGAGGTGTCTTTGCTTTGCTCCGTTTCAGCGTGCTGACTGAGAGAGATGGCGGGGGACAAGCACAGAAAGATGGTCCCTGCTTTTTCCAGAGAGCGAAGTTGTCAGTAGGATGGAAAATCCGCCTGATTGATCACTGCAACATCCAGTTTTGGCAGGGATAGGTTGACGGTTGGACTCGATGATCTTAAGGGTCTTTTCCAACCTTGACGATTCTATGATTCTATGATTGATTCTATGAATATGTCTTCGTCAAAACAAAATCTTGGGCACTGTGCTCCTCCCAGGTAAGGGATGAGAAATTGTAGTGTGGCTTGTGGTGGCAAGCAGCCCTGAAACGCTGTATCAGGTGAATGTTAGAGGCGTTCTTCTAGCCATCGAGTGGTGTTGGGCTGTCACAGACACAGAGCTTGTGAAGAGCTGTTCTTCCTTCTACTCTCTTCCAATCTCCTGTTGCACTTCAAGTCATTGATCTCAGCAGCAGTACAAAGCAGCAGAATATTACCACTTCCACTCCTGCACAGATGCATTATCAGACCAGCTATCAGCTGTCACATCCGTACTTAACAAAACCCCAGGTGTGCCCATATCTGCCAAAGGGCTCAAAACCTCATCGTAAGTATGAATGACAGACTTCAGAAATGAGGAAGACCCGTGAGAGAGTCCCAGAGTCAAAAATGGCATTTAGCCTGAACTTCCCACTGTTTCAACTTACACCTCTTCCCTTAACTGTGTAAAATGTATTTCCTTCCTTACTGGTTACTCTGTTCAAACATTTCTTCACTGTTCCCATGTCCCCTTCTTACTTCATACGTGATGCTATACATGACTTTGTCCATATGCCTAAGTCCATACATGACTTTGTCAGTGCATCAGTTCTTAGCATAACTCGCTAAGACAGTTCAGCTTCTGGTTTCAATGGCTTTGTTTTGAGGTTACGGTAAAACCGTATTTGACCCTGACTTCTCTGTGACTTTTGGCTGACCCAAGTACTTCAGAATTTGGCCCACAAGGATCAGTATTTCTATGGTATAATAAAACCTCCCAGCTACTAATTGTTGCGTTGAATCTTTTGTGAGCAAAATCCAATGTGCCATTGTCTTTCTAGTAATATGGAGCTAAATGTAGTTATTTGTTGCTTAAGAGCAGGATTCTCCTTTGCTGTGATGTCAGAATATCCTCAGTGACACTAATGAATTCTAGCCAGCATCAACACAGGGATTAATTGAGTGAGGGGTCCGGTCCAGGGACCAGCTATTTTCCACCCTGAGGCAACAACCATTGGTAGTCCCTTCCTGTCCCTTCTGAGGCACTGATTTAATTAGCCTTGCCTAAAACTGATGATGCTTTTAAGAGCTTTTTCAGTAAACAGAAGTTCTCCTTGGACCTAGTAACCTTTTCTGGCTCATACAAACTGTCCCCTACTTGTTCTTTCAAGCCAGTGAAAGATTGTTGTGTGGTGCTACCAGCTTCGTATAAAACTAAGCTTATGTTTGCAGTAGTAAAGAAAGAAAAGTGGATAGGCCAGTGCTCCTAAGTAAACACATAATGTTTAAAGCATGCACGAGAACAGGTACATCGGCCAGTGCCAATATGTGAGCAAACATACCTACTCTATAATTAATAGAAGTAAAGGTTTTCTTTAATAAGTAACATACAATAAATTAAATACAAAATATTTTCCTCTGACAGGGGACAGACAGTGCCTTTTAATAAAATCAAATTGTTTTCGTTCTATATGAAATCATTGGCAATTAAAGTTATTTATAGGATGGAAAGATTAATCCTAGCAAGCAAAGGGAAACTGTGGTGTATGAACTGTTCACTCATGCAGCAATAAAACAGCCAAATCCTTTTGCTTTATAGAGAATATTTTTCTATAGTTGGAGGTTGATGCTGTGTCTGTTCACAAAGTCACAGGGACTGCTGCTCAGCTGAGCCAGCCTATGACTCTTGTCATTATGGGCCTGTCCCTCCTATTGATACTAGTGCTGTAAGTGCGCTTGGCAATGTGGACACACAGCCTTCAAGTTCAGTATCTTATCCTCTGTCACTTATTCCTTTTTCCTGCTGACATTTTTGAAATTTTTGCCTATTCTCTCATTCAGTCTCATTTGCACAGTCGTGGACTATAGTGCTGATAGAGATCATCTTGTCCGTCCCATCCCTTCCAGTGGAAACAAGGCAGGATTACAGACAGGTATCGTTATACCTCTATGATTCCCAAAATAGTTTGTCTCACTTGTTCTTAAAGATCTCTGGTGATGGCGGGTCACATCATACCCGGATGATCTGTCAATGAAAAATGTTTATTAGTGTCAAACCATCTCCCTTCAGCTTGTGTCCATTGCTTCTTTTTTCTCTCTGTCTAAGGACATGATTACTCTTGTTCTATTTTCATCACTTTTTCAGTATTTGAGGACTGTTATCACGTCTCCTTTCTGACTCTGTCATTTCATTACTAAAACCAAATTAGTATGATTAAATTGACTGTACCAGTTTCTTGCATCTCCTTGTGTCTTCCAGTGTTGCTCCTGCCTCCCAACTCTTTTCAACTTCTTTTTTCTCTTTGCTTGAACTTATTTTTGCCCTTTTGTATCACCATGGAAGATTTCTTCTCCATTCCTCAGAGTATACCTACTCAGTAGTCACCATGTCACGCTTTGCTGTCAGGGAGTTCTCAGAGTAGTTTTAATTGTCATATTTCTGGTACCTGCATGGTACATCTGTGGCATTTTACTGGCACCGTGGAACTCCTAACGTGGACTGCCAAACCCAGCTGAAAAGCCCAGGGACTTGTCCACAGGTTTGCAGCCAGAAGTGATTTTCTTCACCACTTCGCAATTTTCTTTATAACTTCCTTAAAAATCATGATACCTTCACACTCTTGGAACTAAAACAATTGCCCTAGCTTCGGTCTTCATCTTCTATCTTACTTATTTCACCCCTCATTACCTTCTTTCAGACCATTCCT